ACATTCTGTGATTCTGTGATTCTGTGTAGTCTGTCACCCCTTGGGCAAATTGCCTCTGGCTGTCCTTGTACTCTGTTGTTCATGCAGGTGGACGGAGAAGCTCTGTCCCACCAGTGACAACTCTTTTGCTCTTCTGTTCTGGGGGTTTGGGACATCTTAAAGCACCAGGTTGTGGATAGGTCCCGGACCAGGATGGGAGGTGCTGAAGTGATTTTTACAGAAGAAAGGAGAGCAAGGCCTGTCACTATTGATTGTTTTGCAAGCATGAAAACTCTTAAGTGCTGGGAAGGGTCAGGGAATTTGTGCTGAAAATCTCTGGAGTCCTAAACTGTGCACATTTGTACTCTGGCATTGCTGGTGCCATGTATTGTGGGTGTTTTCCATCTGCCAGGTAAGCAACAGGGGACTAAACTGGTTTTGCTATGTTGTGCCATGGGTTTGGACAAGTTTGGTGTCTAGCCACAACAGACTGCATCTTTCCCATGTTTGTCAAATAAACTTTTCCAGAAAGAAAGAAGGAATCTTAACATTTTGGGAGCATGGAAAGGAATAGTATGCAATTTTCTATTAGTTCCATATTATTACCAGTTTCTGTGGAAATCTTAAGTTATTTGATTCCTCACCAAACTTACTGGTTTGTGAAGCAGTTAAAGCACAGCTGCAAAGAAATCAACCCTGGTAACACCCCTGGAAGAGTGATTTTATGGTTTGGGAAGTCATGAGAGATTGGGTGATGTGGTGAATTAGATGTACAGTACTGCTGGAAATTTTGTTGGGCCTCTCTTTGGCTGGGTTCATGCTCAGGCCAGTGGATCTTGTCTCCTCCATTTGACAGACTTTCTCTGCTACTTCTGGAAGTAGGAACATGGGAGCCAGAGTGGTCACCTACACATTCACTACTCTTTCCTGTTTTCTAGCTGGCTGCAATACGCCGACTACGAGCAAAAGGCCAGATTCTTGCTAAAACTGACCCAAACAGTGTCAAGAGGAAAAGAGCTGATGTTGATGATGTCCTAGAAATTGTTGGAAGAGTTGAGAAAAATGTTGCTCAGCCACAAGGTACAGAAGAAGAGAATGGTATGTGATGTTAGCTTCTTGAATAGAAAAAATATGTTTATGCCCTGCTGAATGGAGCTCTAGTTGCTGAGTTCAGGACTTAATTGCTGCACCAAAGAGAGGCCAAGTTAGGTCTGTTTAGAACTTAAAGGGTTTGTTGCAGAGGCTAAACAATCTCCAACCCTGTGGAGAGAGTGTGAGATGTAATCTCTGGTAGCTCCCTGTCCTCATCTCTGTTCCCTTTCTTCCGGCACTTGAGCATCTGCAATGCGTGGCTGACTTAACCAAGGGAAACCAAGAAATAGTCCCACCTTGGAAGGTATCTGAATTTTCTGTGGGAACTTGAGTTTGCCTGCTTTACTGGTGATTTACTGTGTCATCTTGGATGAATTGCTTAATTCCCTTTAAAGCTTCTCCATCAGTCAGGCAGGCAACCCTGCTTGCTCCCCTGGGAGTGATGTGAAAATTCCTAGTACAGTGCTTTGACAGAACATGCAATGTTATTTTTAAAAGTACTTTTTTTTTTTTTTTTTCCTGAAGCCATATTTCAACGTGGCTTCATGTTCTTCTAAACTATGAAAGGTTGTTGTTTGACCTGAACATCTGCCTGAGAGACCTGAGACTTCCAAAAATCTCCCACAGTGATCATGCTTAGAGATTACAACCTCGTTTTAAACTTGGTCTCTGTAGGACTGAGCCTTTTTATCTCCCTAGATACAGTTGAACTGGAGCCTGCCGAAAAGAAACGGCGTGAGCAGCTGGCCTATCTGGAGTCAGAAGAGTTCCACAAAATCCTGAATGCCAAGTCCAAGCACACAGATATCCTGAAAGAGGTATGGACTTAATCCAGCCATGACTGAGGGGTCAGAACTAGGGATCTATCTGGGCTCCTCATGATGATTTCACCAAGGAGTAGGTACCAAACATGTCACAGGCACCCAGTCGTCCTGACGAGCAGGGTCAGGGACTCTGAGCACACAGGGCACAATGCCCGGAGGTCAGCGTTATTGCCTTAGCCATGGTAAGGTCAAGTTGCCATTGTCTTTTTTTGCTGTGTTTGGAAGAATCGGTGAAGTTTCCTAGTTAGTGGATGATCAAATAAATCCTTCTGCCTTAAAAAAAAATTAGCCACTTGCCTGTTTTGTCCCTTATTTCTTGACAGCTTGGCCACATAAAGACAGCTGCCACCTTCCCCTGGGCCTCCTGTAAGTTGTGGAGCCTGTGAGATGCCAGCAGTTGCCCTGTGTAGAGCTAAGAGGTTGGGTTTCTCTCATTGGGGTCTTTGCTGAGCATATTTCCAGGGATACAGCACTTGAAGTGGCACATGATTCTTGTCTTGGACATGTTGTATTGGTATGAAGTCCTCGTTGCTTTAAGGTCTTCTGAGGAGTAATATTTTGTCTAAGAACCAATTCCATTCATTACAGCTGCCTACCTGACCTCTCCCTGCTCTGTCCCTCTAGGTTTTATTTCAGTAGTGCAAGCTGTTGTTAAACCCTCCCACTCATATGTCTCAGAGGTGACTCATTTCAGTGTTGGTGAAGCACAGCACATGAAATGTATGGATTTTTTTTGAAGCAAGAGATATTTGGTGTTTCTCTGGCTCCCAGACTGCAGTCTGCTTCAGGCAGGCCTGGTAGTAATTTGCCTTAAGTTTGTTTATGGAGTGGTTTCTCCCAACTTTGTCTCCCCACAACCCTTTTTGTGTGCCCCCACAGGCTGAGGCTGAACTGCAGGAGCAATACTTTCAGCCCCTGGTGAAAAAAGAAGAATTGGAAGAGAAGATGAGGAGCATCAAAGAAGTGAAATGTCGAGTTGTGACGTGTAAAACTGTGAGTGAAGTGGAGCCAAGGTGGCAGCAGGAGAGTGGGATATGGATTGTACAAAATTATGCTGGACCATCCGGCAGACTCCCCATTAGTCACTCTCTTGGCCATAGTCCAGTGCAGGGATCAAACAGAGACAGTTTAGGTCCTTGTGACTGTTGCTGAGAGCAGCCAATGCACTGAGTGACATTAAGACACTGGCAAGGCAGGCTTTATTGATGTGCTGAGCATCTCAACTTCATGTTTACACCAGCGATTTCCTTGGGTGTTGGTGTCCTGAAAACATTTATCAGTTTCTTCCCTGAAGTTCTTTGTACCAGGACCCTCAGTTCCCCATATTACACGGCAAAAAAAGCCAAGTGCCTTGAAAAGAGAACACTGGGTGATTCCTCTATCTGCATTTCCAGTGATTTTACTATCAGGAAGAGGAAGGGAGCTTTGTTACTGTCCTGAATGTACTGAGAGGAAGGGAGGAGATACTTCCCATTCCCAGTCCCTGCTGGACTTTCCCTCTTGTTGCCTTTCCTGTGTGTTTTGGGGCTGCACAGAGGGCCACTGTGTGCCTCATGAGCAGAGCCACAGGGTGGTGGCAAAGAGGGGAGGATGGTATAAGAATGAGCCGTACAAAGCCTGGGGTGATGATCTCAGACTGGTGGGCTCCTCAGGATAGGAGAAGACAGAGGTGCTTTCCGCTGGATGTTCAGCTGTTGCCAGTCTCCCATGCTGGTGAAGCGCTCACAGCTCTTTCTCCTCCCTGACAGTGTAATTACACCTATTTCAAGCCTCTGGAGACGTGTGTGCAGGATAACCATGACTACCACTGGCATGATGCCGTCAAGCGATTTTTCAAATGTCCTTGTGGAAGCCGAGCTATTTCCCTTAACAGGCTCCCAAAAAAGCCCTGCAGGTAAGAAATGAGCCTTGTGAAATAGTGACTGGGGCTTTTCTACTGTCCACTCACAACTAATATTTTGGGAGTCACAAAACCATGACCTAAAATGGGAACGTTAACTCTTGTGCTAAGCAGTGTGGGAAAGGTGGGGGGTGAGTTTTAGACGCCCTCATACTGTGCAGCAAGCACAAGCCACAGTGGTCCTCACCTGCCATCTTCATCTTTCAGTACCTGTGGCCTCTTCAAGTGGGAGCGAGACGGGATGCTAAAGGTAAGGGTGAGCCAGCAGTTTCTGAGCACCTCAGCACTCTGGCTGCTTCTCTTGGTACTTTTGTCCCACTCTTTGCCTCAGTGCTCTTAGGAGCTCCCAGCAGAACCAAGCAGCTTTGCATTTTGTTAGGGACATACAGGTACCTGCAGGCTGTGATTTAATGGACTTTCTCTTGCTTTCTGTTCTTGAAGCTTTGTCCAAAGTTGTAAGAACTCAGAATGTCAAAGTTCCTAGAGTGTCTGTTAATATTTAATCAGATAATTTAGCCCTACCACAACTTCTGTCAAAAAAATGTTTGGGAGACATCTTGCCACACATTTAACTTCTTTTCTTCATGGTTCATGCTTCTAGGAGAAAAAAGGTCCGAAGATTGGTGGAGAAACACTTTTACCAAGAGGGGAGGAACAGCCAAAATTTCTCAATAGTCTTAAGTGACCTGGAATTTATTTTTTTCACAACTTAGGGATGGATTTCTGTGTCTAAACCACACATTTCTTTACTGGAATGCCAAGAGGATTCTGGTTTTAGGGATGAATGAGCAGGGTAATCAATTCCTTATGAGGACATCCACAAAGTTTCCACGAGGCCACTGCATGGATATTCAGCTTTGATCTTTTTTAAAATTGACTGAATAAGGCTGCATGTGAAATACACATTAATGCCTGTTTTTTCTTACTAACAACTTGTTTACAAGATGTAACCTAGAAAAGAGACATCTAGAGAAGAAGTTGTACCAAGAAATCTCTAGGGATCCCACAGTTTATGTTGAATGGCTGGTGTAGAGTGACCTCACCAGAATTTCAAGTGACAAATCATCATGGACTGGAAGGTCTGGAGACTCTGTAAGCACTTGGAAGTTAATAGTGTGGCAGATAAATGCCAGCCTGTCGGGTTTTTTCAGCTGTTGGCTGAAAAAGGATGCAAAAGGGTGGCAGCCACAAAGCAGTCCTCATTGGCTCCAAAATTACTCCCTTTTAACCTTTAAGAACAGATGTCAAAAGGTTGCTGAGTTGTCTCCTTGACTAATGTGTTAAAAAAAAACCCTTCAGTGGCTTTGGCATTGCAACCCAACAGTGTTTACACTGCAGAATATCGGAGCTCTTCTGAAAGCCCTTTCCCTGTCACAAAGCCCCTGCTGCCTTCCCAGCACTATCCACACTACAGCACCTTTACGGCTACAAACCGGCAGCTCCCAGTTTGAAAAGCATTTTAATTAATCTGACACCATTTGGTGAGTGCTTTTAAAGAGCTGAGTGATTACGTTTAATAGCTTTTACACTTTTTTTGGCATTTGAAATTTTCCTGAATTCTTTCCTGGTCATCACCACATCAACCTTGGCTGCTGGCACAGCTGCATGGGGACAGTGGCTGTCTCAGACCAAACAGGATGAGGTCTCCAAGGGGTGGTGGCTCCTGAGAATGGCTGTCATCAAACAGGGTCTTTCTGAAAGCACATCTCTGTAGGGGTGGCTCTGGCATTTGGCCAGCTTTTCCTGGACCTGATCCCTCTGCTGCCCCTCACTTATGCCCTGTAAGATCACAGGGTATTTTTTAAGCACCTAAAACCACTAGTACCTCAGTGATTTGGTGAAACTGCCACCACCAGTCTCACATGTCCCAGTGGCCATGTCAATACCTCTTTTGTTTGCTTGTCCAGGGGCTGGAAGAAAAAATTCAATAATTTGAAGAAGGTGAACAGATTTACCTCACTATTTGTCATCTCCTGCTGGTGCTTCTGCTGGACAGCTTGGCTCAGCATTTTACATTCCTTTCAGTCTCATGTCAATAGCATTTGATGGGTGGGGTGTCACTGGTAGGTGACTGTAAATATGTAACTGTGACATTGCTTGGCAATGTCTCGTGTTGATTCCTCATTCAGAATAAACACAGTGCTCAATAAAATGCTCCCTGGGTTTGCATGGTATCATTTCTCTGAGGAAGAGTTGCTCAACATCTTAATTTTTCTGAGAGCTCAGTGCTGAATCACCAAAAGGAACTGGTTTGTGGTCCCTAACTCTGAGTGCCACACAGTTTTCTCATTCAGACCAGCAGGAGTTTGTCACCTGGAGGCCATAAAACCAACATGAAATTCCACATCAGTATCAGCCTTCAGCCAGCACATGGAAAGCTTCAGGCTTTTTCCAGTTTGGCCAATGGAAAGGAGATTTCTCCAGCAATTAAACTGTCGAAGGTGGGGTAATGCTTTATCTTCAGAAGTGCCCCCAGGCCTGTGATATACACATCCTACAGGAAAGGTATGTGCCTCCTTGGGAGTCAGGGTGTGACTTGTATGCAAAAATAAGACAAGGAAATAAAGGCCCCGTGCTGTGCTTAAACCCCAACAGTAAACAGAGGGGGGGGAGATTGATGTAATGGATTTTACGTGCCTCCATCTATTTTTGGAGATACTCTTCTTGTGCCAGAGATGGCTTCAGCCCAGCAGAAGCAGGCAGGAGGGGAGCTACCTGCTGGGGCACGCTGCTGCGTGAGTGCACAGCTCCAGCACCCTGCCAGAGCAGCCTGTGGCATCTCCGGTTTGCCCCGAGCGGATACATTTCTACCAACACTTGGGAGCAAGAGCAGAGGCAGAAACCCATAAGAGGCAGCTCACGCATGACCTGACAAGCCCAGCTGGATCTACACTGTCACTGAAGCTGCCCCAGTTTTGAGAACGTGATACAGAAGACCTTGAATCTCACAATGAAGAAGTGTGACTGCATGCCAGGCTGTGTTAGCAAAAGAGCAGCCAGCAGGTAGGTGGAAGGGTGTGGGTCTGCCCTAACACTACCAGTTGGCGTAAGGCATTAAACTGGACTACCATTGCAGAAACCTCTGCCACTGCTGTTAGCATGGCTGGTGAATCAAGGCAGCGGTGTTGCTGAAGCTGCCTTGTCCCCTAAATTGTTAAGTAAAACTGCACTGGAAATGTAACACTGAATGTCTGTTCTCAGAGTCACTATTAAGATTTGCAGAGTAGTAAACTGTAAGTCAGTCCTTTCCCCAGCCAGGAAATGTTAATCTGTCCGCAAGATTGTTTCTCCAGCTACAAAGTGCCCTGTGTATGTGTGAAAATGGGCAGGAAGATATTCAGCTTCTCTCTTAATAACCTCCTTTGAAAGCAGGTTTGTTTTTTAGATCTCTTGAGCATCCTGCCTTTCCTCAGCTATTGGGGAAATGTTAATTTAGAGCTCCTCACCGTGCTGCCACAAATTATCTTTCCTTGGATTTTACAAACATTGAGGAAATATGAAACCTTTAGCATTTACTCCCTCTGCACTAATCAGTTCAGGTTTATTAACTCTCAAGTAAAATCAGCTTAATGAAACCTAAATACCCTTTCACAATAAATACACTACTAAAGGGTCTTCCTTTTTGCCCATCAGTTTTTCATGGCAGAGCCCGTGCAGTGGTCTCCTGGGCCACTACATGCAGCTCCCCTGGCAAGCTGGACTCAGCCATTTCACATAATTTTGTTTTTCCAAACCCAGTTGCTGCCTGGCTTTTCCCCTCCCAAAATTAAGTATATGTGGGACAAGTGTGCTGGCGAAACTTTTATCCTGTTCTTTCATTCTGATGTCCTGTGCAAAGCCGTGTTACAGATCCTGTTTCATGTTGTCCTGAAAACAGCGCTGCGATGCCCATGCTGGAGAGCCTCAAGGTGCAGCTGGGGTCCTCCACTGCTGGCTGAAAAAACAGCCTGGGCAATCAGTGCTCTTTTGTGTTTATATGACTAACAGTGACTCAAAAATGGCAAAATAACCTTTGTCCACATCCCTTAGACAAAAATTCAAAACCTGACTTTTAGAGTGATGTGCAAATACAGAGGGAAGGGAAATCCCTAGTGTCTCTGGGGACATGGCTTCTCCAGGACACTTATTTTCAGTATTAACTCTGTACCTTGCTGTCTGATTTCTTCCAGACTTTTCTACCTGGCCTGGTGTTTGCTTACGCCTTTTGTTGACTGTGTGACAGCGCTTGGCACAGGCAGCCAGACCTGTTGCTGTATCAACATGTCATGCAGCTTTCTCTCCAGCACAGCTGCTTATATTGTATTTTTCTGTTCTTTCTTCACAGACTTAGAACCAAGAGAGGAGCAGCTCTGGTATCGAGGTACCCACACTGCTTGCACAGACAAGGAGCAACCAGAGCAAGGAGAGGGAATATTTTGCATAGGAAAAGGTAATTGCTCCCTCTTTCTCCCCACAGCAGCTAAGGACTGGAGGACAGACATGCTTGGACTGCTTATCCAGGCACAGATAGAGGCTGGGAAAGGCACAGGGGACAGGACGTATGTGCAAACGTGAAAATAAGCGACCTTGGTGCACGCTGCCATCCTAACAGGGAGTGCTCACCAAGCGAGCGCCTGTGTTGTAACGCCGGATAACTCAGCACTTTTTGGCTGTGCTGCTTTTAGGAGAGAACACGTGACACTGAACATGAATGAGCGTAAAATTAGCATGTTCCTCCTTCCCTTGCAGAGCTGGAGTAAACAGGGAGGCTTAGAGGAGGTCAAGGGCTGGATGGGAGCCCATCATGAACAAATCACGGCACTTGGTGCTCCTGTATCTGAGCCCATCCTGTACGCCAGCAGCACAGCATGCGCCACAGGAAGTAATTGCATGGGGTCTTAATTACTTTCCTAAATTAAAGCCTCAGTTACTTGCTAGCACATGCTAAGACTTGTATGCCTTGTGTGTTAAACCTGCCTAATGTGGTCAGTCTGCTTTAATTCAGGCCCATGGAGATCCTGGTGATAAAGTATTTGAACATCCTGGTTAGATTTGGTGAGTTATGTAAATCCCTCCCAAAATCTCTGTGCTCTTTCATCCTTGAAACTGCTGCTCTGCTCCTAAGAGAAAGACTGCAGTTGATTGTGGGGTCTCAGCCTAGAAGTTGCTTAGGAAGAGCAGCAGTAAGTGCTTTCTGGTGCACTTTTTTTTGCCATTGCTGCTTTGGACAAGTTGTTTTTCAAGTTGAGAGCTCCATTCCAGCTATCAGCCTGGAAAATTTCTTGGAAAGGTTAGGCTGAATTTTCCTTCAATTTTGAGGTTAAGGATGGAATAACACTTTGAGAAAATCTCCTTTTTCATGCAGCAAAAGAAACAATTGATGAAGACCAAAGCTGAACATCTGGAAACCTCCCAAGCCAAACCACAAGCCTAGGTATGAGAGGGCATTTAACAAAATTTAAAACTTAAAATTTAAAAATATAAAATTTAAAAATTTAACTTTATTAACAAAAAGTTGGTCAGCAGCAGCTTTGTCAATACAAAGTGCTGAAAATTATGAATGGACCTCATCACATCAATGAAACTGGCTTAAAGAATCATAAGGGCTAAAACTACACTGAAATGGAATTTTTATTTGTTTCCTTCTTGTGTTTTTGAAGCTTTCAGATCCCCTTTTCCACTTTTGGTTTTTTTTTTCCGTGAGGGTCCTATTTTTTCAGGCTTCAGTATTTAGAAACACTGAGGTGGGAAGATTTCTGTTTACCATTTTTCTCTAATTCCTGAAATCTTTGTGTGAACCAGAGAATTTCTGAAATTGAATCTTTAAGAAAAAGAAAGGCCATACCCGATACTACCATCATGTAATCAAAACCACAAGAGGGGTCAATGGGGTCAATACACTACAGACCACTTGTGAATTCGAGTAATCATCAAGGCCAGAAATGCAAACAAGGCCTATGGACATAGAGGGAGCTGGCAAAACCTCTGCCCTCCAGCCCAAACTGGCCTGGGGAAGTGTTGGAGGAATGAACCCTGAGCTGTGCTATGGTCTGGTCGCCCTCCGCTAGCCCTTGGGTTTGCTAGTGATCCTGCAGGTAGAAGGGGACCACAGATCTCAGGTTACCTGAAACACAGGGAATGCAGGTGGTTGCACTGAAAAGATTCTTTATGCACTTTAGATGTGACATAGAATTGTCCTGGGGAACATCATGTGACTTATGGTAACACGTGCCAAGAAGCTGCTCCAAAGCTGCAGGTGAAGTACTGTCTCTAAGCATGCTCCTTGCTGGCACTCAATTCTGAGGCCAAACTAGTTTAAATCTCACTCTATGGCAGAGTGAGACCCTAGACATGTCTCTTGGGTCCCCAGCTGCTCTGCTATTGGGAAGGGCATGAACAAACTGAGTGCTTTGATAACTTGAGGTACTCTGTGCCTGTGCCGAAGCTGGGCACCTTAGAATAGGAAACAGCTCAGGTCTCAGCTCTGCTGAACTGCAAAAGCTTATGAAGAGCCAAACCAACTTTGAAAAAAAACCTGTAATGTACTTAATTAAACTTCCTTGCCCCCCCATTTCTCCTGTAAGAAGTAAGTTTTTGATCTGCAGCCCTAGAAACCAAAGGCAGGATTCAAAATCCTTCCTTTGGCACCTATTCAAGGGCCTTCATATCAAAGCACTGAGCGTGCAACCACTGTCAGCAAGGTCAGGAGTTAGACAAAATTTAACGTTTCTGAACTGTTAGTCTGGAAAATAGCACCTAAATTGTATTGTCTTTTACCAAGCTCCAGGAAGCACTTGTTTTCAATGCATGTGAGCGGGGAAAGATGAAGGGAGAGCAAATTACAGCAGAACAAACCCCACCTTTCAGCAGCATCTGCTTCCCAGTGTAGAGCTTGAGGGAAAAGTGAGGATGAACTGACTGTCACACTAATGACATAAGCTTGTCTGAGCTGTGACAGGGTAAGGCTGAAGGCCACTTTGCAGAAGTGGTGAGGCTCTGTGGTTCAACGGCAACAGGGGACATGTGCAAAGATGTCAAAAATAATTTTCTGAACTGTGATGCAGGTCTATTATGGATCTATATTCAATCTTAATATTTATCTCCTCTCGAGTACATCTCATGGAGTTAATGTAGGCTGATGAAAGTACTGAGTGCACTGCTAAAGACAGTGTACATTGAACGTATAATTTTTAAGCACATCCCAACATGCCAACTTCACAGCCCATGGGTCAAGGCACGGGCTCTGGGAAGGAAGGTGGAGGTATGGCTCTTGCTTCAAGGACCAGGAGTGGATTGAATGCAGCATGTCCTCATTCTGAACTAGGGTCAGCTTTCCTTCTGTCTCTTCTGACTCCAAAAACGGTGGAGGCCACAGGCTGAACATGGTTCTAAATATTATAGACGCATTAAGGTTGGAAAAGACCTCAAGGATCATCAAGTCCAACCGTCAAACCCACACCACCTAACTCACTAAACCATGTCCCTAAGCACCACATCTACACGTTTCTTGAACACCTCCGGGGATGGTGACTCCACCACTTCCCTGGGCAGCCTGTTCCAATGCCTGATCACTCTTTCAGTGAAGAAGTTTTTTCAAATATCTAGCCTAAACCTCCCCTGGCACAACTTGAGGCCCTTTCCTCTTGTCCCATCACTTGTTACTTTAGAGAAGAGGCCAGCACCCACCTCACTACAACCTCCTTTCAGGTAGCTGTAGGGAGTGAAAAGGTCTCCTCTCAGCCTCCTCTTCTGTAGATTAAATAACCCCAGCTCCCTCAGCTGCTCCTCCTAAGACCTGTGCCCTCTTGGCAGGGCTGTTCCTTTTTATGGCATGAGCTTTTCACAGGATAGCAAAAAAAAAAAAAAAAAATCCCCTTTCTGATGGAAATATCTTTATAATTTGGGACTGCAAAAATCATTGAGGGATGGGCAGTGTGTCTGGGAAGAGCACTTGGGTTCTTCATGGGCCTACTAGGCGGTCTCCTCCTGGAAAAAAAATTAAGTTTGGGCAGCAGGTGACTTGGTTAATTATTGCTTTTCCTCTCCTCCTCCCCTTCCCACTGCTGTGGTGGTAATTCAAAGAAGAGGGAGTTTGGACCTGAAGGCTGATACACCTTGCAGCTCTCCTGTGACCGCAGCTCTCTCTACAGTTACTCACCTGACATGCCTGAATCAGCTCTACTGCTGCCAGGAAACCAAACCCTAAGAGACATATGGGTGTGGTTTTGTTTTTTACCCAGAAGTGAAGTGCTGGAGCCTGAGATGAATTTCTAGTTGTGAATTTCCACTCATGGGGCATATGCTTTGGAAAACTGGGATTGCAGAATCTCTGCTGGCTGGGATGGGTGGGAACAGAAAGTACTCACCAGGTAGATCTCTCTCGCAGGAGGTCACATTTACATGAACTGATGAAGCATCCTCTGGACTCCAGCCCTTGTTCAACGATCCCGTGAGGAAGTGCTTGTAGATCCTCACTCTCCCAGAGACAGGTCCTGCACCCGTGGCTTTGCTGGGAAGGACCCAGGGAGCCCTGCTGGATCTGGCTCTGCCCAGGGTTATTTTAGGGGGAAAGGATCAGACTCCTTGGCATTGCTCAGATGCATCTGAGCTGGCCTTGCACACAATCAAGGAGAGCTTTCCTAAACTTAGTCCTCCTCAGCCTCTGGAGTATCCTCAACCTGCTGTTGTAGGAAGGAGTAAGGACATGTGTCTCTCCTCAGGTGGGACTACTGAGTTTAGATGCTCTGCAAGGTCTTTGATGGGTTTGTTCTTCTGGGAGAGGTAATTTAAGCCTAAATCCATAGGCAGAGATGCGTAAATTTTTAAAAACAAAGCTAAAGTTCTTCTTTTCCTTCTCTCTCCCAGCCGTAATAAGAGAAATTCGCAGTCTGGAAACTCTGGGAATCTGATGGACAGCTGTAGCTCTTCTCTGTGGTCACAGCTCCCTCTGCAGTCAACTCAGCTACACCAGTAACACCAGACAGTAAAGTCCCTCCATGAATCCCGTGTCGTGTACCAGATGGGATACTAAGTTCTCAGAAAAATCCCAAGGAGAGCACCAGCTAGGCTGTGAGCCAGAGCTCAGCAAAGTCAACAGAGGAGCCTCCAACTCACTGGAAATTATTCACTTGGACCCATGCAGCAAGCAAAGACCAGGCCGAGTAGGTCCAGGTCTGGAGAGGCATCATGGCACATCTCCACAAGAGCAGGATCAGTGCTAGGGTTATATAGAGGACTTGGGAAGAGATGCAGGAAGGAGGATACTAAAAATCACCCACTGAGCAGGGCTGGGGGTCTGTGATAAAGTCTCCCCCTCATCAGACTTCCTGCTGTCATGGTCAAACCAGAGGATACATCTTGTCTCCAGGTGGGAATCACAGCCCAGACACCTCACCCCACCATGAACGGTTTAGGATCAATGCAGTAACTGTGATCAAACATCACCTTGATTAAAAAGCACGCAAACTAAGAAAACCTATAGATGCTGCAGGAAGAGGAATAAGCACAAAACCACCCTCTGCATTGTGTTCTCATGCATGAAAGGACTGCACCATCTTTGGCTTGCAGACGCTTGTCTAGGCAGTCCCCCGGGGCAGAAGAGTTTGAGCCTTATGGGGCAAGGACAGGACCTGACCTCCTGTCTCAACCGAGTTAGGATCCTGAGCCACATGATAACAGAGCAGAAGGAGCTGTGAAAGCCTGTCAGTGCAGCCTTTGGTGCTGTTTTGGCACCTTTTTTGGGTGGAAGGTTGGAGTGGAAAAGAGCTGAGGACTGATGGATTGCACAGGGGTATTCAACAACGCACCCACTGCCAGAATTTCTGAGTGGAAGAAATAATACAACACAGCCCTCAAACACAGTTTTGCTCTGATTCAGTCTGTATTTCAAAAAATATATTCTGAAAGTAACAGAATCTTTCAGAAAGCAAGGAAAAACATTGTGAAAGGCGAGAGGATTGTCAGTGCACATCGTTCCACCCTGCCACAGGTGCATCCTGGGGAGCATCCAACCACCTCCCCAACCTGGAAGCACCAAAAGGCGCCTTTTCCCAGAGCCACCAGACTCGAAGGAGGACTCCCTTGTTTCACACAGCCTCAGGTCGGTTGTGCAAGGCCAACAGAAGGCTGCATTGCTGGCCTGTAGTTCCCAACCCTGTCAGCCCCACATATCACTTGTGCCAGTGCTGCTCAGTGAGATACCATGCCGTGCCAGACTGTGTTCAAGGAGCTCTACTAGTGATCATATTCCAGCCCATGAATCCCACCTTTGTACCCGAGTGATTGCTGCTTTCCCTTTAACCAGTTCCTGACACCAAGGATTCTGCTCTTACCAATATCACCATCTTCATAATCTGTACTAATGACTTCCCATGTGAGCTCATACTGAGGGCTTGTGTGAAACTCTGATTCATTTTATCTCCTTTGCATAGAAAAGGAAGTTGGAAACATTAAAAAACATACGTACCCTTGCATAAAATCTTGTCTTAGTATAGCATAATTCCAAAGGTACACCATGTGAGACAGTTTTCAAAAGCATGAATGAAAACATCAAAAAAATCAAGGCAATCCTTCAAGACCTTAATTCTTCAATTGCCTAAGATAGCCACAGCAAATCTCTGCTTTTCTAGGCTGGGTTTTCTCTACCGTACATCAGCTGTTCAGCCTCAGTGCAATTATTTTCTATTAGCACAAAATTATTTTTGATGCAGCATTTGGCTAAGTTACCATTACAGAGGTCAACAAAGCACACACAGTTCTGACTGCCGAGGGAGGGGCTGCACTCTCCGATTGGAGAAGCTCATTCTCAGGCACGTGTTTTCCATCCTGCTCTTCAGAGGTTGTTCTACAGGTTAATTCTTTCCCCTCGCACAAGCCGTGCTCGGAAGTTCCAAATATCCTTCAAAACAAAAACAAGACAAAGGAAAAACCCTAAGGGCCAGCAAAACCAGTAACCAGGATTCCAGTTTACAGAGATGGAAATAGATGTAGAATTCTCAGCTTAACTAACTACCCATAAAAACATACCATGACATTTACTGAATATAATTTCAAATCCTAAATATGAAGAACAAAAATACAGCCCACACTAAGGAAGGGGTGCAGCCTCCACCCACAGGAGACAGGTTGTGTGCAGGTGTTACAGGGATGGCAAGATGCCCATGGCTCAGTTCTGGAAGGCAGCAGAAGAGGAAAGATGAGCGGCACAGAGAATATTACCCTTGAAGAAGTCACTTTTTCCTGCTTGTGCACACAATGCCTCCCTTGTGCACCTTTGGGTGACCAAAAAAACTTCACCAACTGACTCCACTTTGCATACTGCTGCCCGTGAACAAGTGATATTCCTTGTGCAGCAGAAGCCAGCAGGAAATAACGGATACGAATACAAGCCCTTAGCCAGAAACCAGGTGCCAGGCATTGCTGCAGACTGTAAAGCAGAGAAGACCATCGCTGTTTGCTTCACGGAGGCAAGTCTTGGCAAAGTCCTACCTCGGTTTCCCTGCATGAGGATTACTTCGCTCTTACCACTAGTCTTGTGAAGGCGAAATATAAGACCTGGGCAGTGAGTTGTTATGATCTGTCTCATGTGTGTGATGCTCATGAGCTTACTCTTAAAAAAGAGTGAAAAAGAAAGTCCTCTGCTCCAGAATGCCCTAAATATTGTAGTATCTGTAAAATATGTAAATTTTAAGAGAAAATTGCATCTAGATTTTACTGCCTTGATACTGGCTGTGCACAGGTTTGGGAACTGCTGCAGATTAAGAAATTCTGAACATTTACACTCCGATAACAAGGTTTATTATTATTACAGTGGCTGAATCCTTGCAGAATTTAGATTTGCTTTTTATTTTACACAATGGTTTCAGTTATTCAGCAAGAGTCCATTACTCCCTTTTTTAAAATTATTTTTTGAGGCAGATGTATGTTGCTGCTGACATACCTGCTGTGGTGTGCTGGTTTTGGCTGGGATAGAGTTAACTGTCTTCACAGTGGCCAGTACCAGGCTCTGTTTTGGAATTTTGCTGGGAACAGTGCTGATAACACAGGGATGTTTTTGCTATCCCTGAGCAGTGCTCACACAGAGCCAAGGCCTTTTCCACTTCTTATCCACCCCAACTGCGAGTGGGCTGGGGGTGCACAAGGAGCTGGGAGGGGACACAGCTGGGATAGCTGACCCCAACTGACCAAAGAGATATGCCATACTATATGGCGTCATGCTCAGCATGTAAAGCTGGGGGAAGAAGAAGGAAGGGTGGGATGTTTGGAGTGATGGTGTTTGTCTTAACAAGTGACTGTTACACGTGATGGAGCCCTGCTGTCCTGGAGATGGCTGAACACCTGCCTGCCCATGGGAAGCAGTGAAGGAATTCCTTGTTTTGCTTTGCTTGTGCACGTGGCTTTTGCTTTACCTATTAAACTGTCTTTATCTCAACTCACTCCTCACTTCTACTCTTGCAATTCTCTCCCCCACCCCACCAGGGGGAAGTAAGCACGCAGCTGTGTGGGGCTTAGTGCCACGTTAAACCATGACATGTAGCCTCAGGTCTAAACAACTGATGTGGGGTTTATATTTAACCAAAAAAATTCAGTCTACTCTTGCAGTCAGATACAGCTACTTGTTTAAAAGGAAGATGCCATTAGGAGGGGAAACTGTAAGAACTGTGGATACATAAACTGTGGACAAGCACTGAATTTATTGCACCTCCTTATACTTGCGACTTCAGGACAAGAGACGACGACGACGACATCTTCCTATTTACATCATGCAGTCCAAACATAACTGCAAAGAGCTCTGGTTCAGACACACTCCCCACAACAAACCGTGAACCAGGAGATGCAGTGAAGGGCAAAGCTTGCATAGACTTCACCCTATTCCTGCCTTGCCATGTTAGCCTGACCCCTGCTACCCAGTGGAGTGAAGTCTAGACCCCCTTGGATGGCGTAAGAAGTGCATGTGAGCAGCCTCAGAGCTCAGCCATTACGACAGTGGAGTCCACAGCCCCTCCTCACCTGTGCTACATCAGTCGCATAAAATGCTGATCTACTCTGCACTGGCTCAGCTGTCACTGGAAGGGATCAGGGCATCCTCACAAAACCCATTTTGCCAAGAAGAGGTAGAGGAGGAACTTCCACAGCTAAAGGGATGTGAAGGGGCTGCCCAAAAAGCAAGGCCATGTCTCCAGCATAGCAAGAAGCAGCCTTATGAGAAAAAAGATCCCAAAAAGCCTGCTGGTCATTCTCTGAACATCAGGTCTTTTATTCCGCCAAGCACCTCTGCTTGGCACAGCTCGATCTGCCAGACTGAGCACAGCAAAAAGCACAAATCTGTCACACGAGAGAGACTTGGGAAAGGAACTGATTTCGATTGTAACAATGGGCACGTAGCCAAGCCTTACCCTGAGTTCCACAGAAGTCGCGTTGTATTTCTTGTGAACCATTTCTACCAGTTCTTTCTCCAGGTTCTCTTGAGTTGTGTTCTTGACGTCTATGTAGTAGCACTCTGAGCTGGCAAAGTGACAGCTTATACTCTGTGTGAGGAAATTGGGCATCACTCACTACCACATCGATTACAAATGACTGGTGGAAAAAAAACCTCGTGCATCCCTGATTGTGTACACCCCACCCCTTCCTTACAGATCATGTCAGTAAATTCCTTCCTCCTTTCCCAGCACTCCTGCTCTCCTGAGAGCATCACCTTGGAGAAATAACCTTGCTGGAGAAACACTCTTGCTTGCTGATGTGCTCTTCTTCCTTCCCTTCTCTCCTCTCCCAAACACTCCCCCAGCATGAACTGTACTATTTGATCTCAGAGTATCAGCAACTAGAGCAGGAACAGGGAAAGTCAGGGTTGGAGCAGACCTGTGTGTTCTGTAAGGGTTCTTACTTTCCGCACCCAGTCACATCAACCCCCTGATGTTGTAATCAGTTCTTGCTTAAGCAGAGTCTAGAGGAAATAAAACAGAAATGCCCCACCAGAAAAAAGCTCTTCTCTCATTCCATGAGCTATGCCAGCTGCAAGCGAGATCATGTCAGATCTCAAAGGGTGCTGGACCATAATCTGGCTCAGAGAGCTCCAGAATACTCACTGATTTACCCAAAGGCAGACAAAATAAAATCAGAGCAGCCTGTATTGCAATCCACGAGGGGAAATACCTGCATTGCTACTAGTGGCTGCCCTAGAGGCTACAGTTCCCTTACGTGCCTGAATGAATCCACTTCTGAGAAAGGGTCAGGCTTCCAAAGGAGGTACTTTTGCCTGTTTCAGTTAAATATCATGAGGCAAAACAAATAGAAGATGCACAATCAAATCTTTAATAGATAAATGGGTCATGTTATCATATAGATATTAGATATAGATATATATAGATAGATATCTATATATATAGATATATAGATCACGAAGGCTCCTGCTATCCAGAGGTGAGATACCAAGAAGGCAGGAGGAAGCAAGTTAGAGAAGCTCCTGATATTTGGGACAGCTGAAATGGAGCTATTGAAAAAGCAAGTACAGCCCAGCCAGGCTTCAAACACAGATTGAACATCTAATTTCTACTCCTACTGTTTTTCTCAAGCAGCCCCACAGCATCATCTTCTCCCAAAAGACAGAGATGTTTACAAATAAAAAAGAATGTGAAGATATATTAGGAAGCTAAAAACTCATTAAAAATTTCATCCACATATTCATAGTCTTGGAAGAGGGGGAGGATAGTTTGATCAGTTTTTTAAAAAATCAAAAATATCAAAAGCTATATCAAGAGATCCTTTCCTACCTTTCGGAAACCCGATGTCTTATTTATCCCAGATCCATGAATGAGCAGGGGATGGAAGAACACCGTGTCTCCCTTCTCCATGACAAGGTGAACCCTGGGAGTCTTCTCATCCTCATCAAGCAGCCCATGGAAAAGTTTGTTGGTTTTACCCTAGGAAAAAAGACTGAGTTGAAATAACTCGGATTAAATTAGAGCAAGTGCCAATTCTCAGTGTGAGGGACAGCATGGACAGCTACTCATCTGGTTTCCCCTGGGCAGTGTATTCACTATGCCCAACTAAGAGCCTGCCCACTTGCCTACAAGTCGTCCTACTTCAAGCCTGAGGTACAGCAAAATAATACTTTTTCTATTTTCTGATTCTGGATTAAGAACATTTCTCAGCTGGAGAGAACAGAGAAGAGCACTGTGGAATCCCACAAGTGCGGCCTGATGCCACTGCTGGGGTCCAGCCTTCTCCCAGTATAACCATCACCAACACCAAGCCAGGCCAGGAAACACCCGTTCTTAAGAGGAAGATAAATAAACTTGTTATTTAATTGTATCCAGTTGTTTACTGTCCAATTTCTCCTCTTTGGGACAGTATACGTGCTCTCCAAACAAATTCACAGGAGGAGAAAGAGTCCTCAGATTTGGCAAGGGCAGTGGAAAACAGCTGCATGTGTTTATGCCGTTATTCCATGACATGCTGGACAATTTCTAGGTGAAGGTGGGAACAAAGGCAGATCTACCCAGGTTACATGGAGTGAGGCCAACCAAGCAACTCTCCTGAAGCAAGAGGTTGGTTTTTGCATAAACAGAAACGCATCACTGAAAACCTCAGCTTTGCCCTGTGCATCATCCCTCCACGGTGAGCTCTCCCCAGCCAAAATGCGGCCCCCCCACGCACGCCCCTCCCAAGCACCCCCATGACACTCTACCTCCCAGTTTGGATAGCCGTGAGGCTGCAGGGGGATCTTGTGCGTCCCTGGCTGCACGACCAGGCAGCCGTTGTCCTGGTCGGCCCTCTCCATGGCGGTCCAGGAGCACACGATGTGGTCCGCAGGGCGGAAGGGGAAATAGTGCAAGTCCTGATGCATGGGGTGGAGAAAAGTCTGTTTATCTGCAACACAGGTTCAAAACCTTCAACCTCATCAAACATGACACAGCCTTTTCCTTCCTGTTAAACTGTTGCATTTGATGTAACGTCCTAAGAAGCTGCTGCTTGCCCCTGGAGAGACGTTGAGTACTCAGTGTCTGCTCCAGCCCACCGCTGACCTGGAAGCCAAATGGGTTATCTTTCACCTCATCCCAAGACAGGCCAGGAGCACAGTGGTGGCTCTTGGGTCAGGAACACACGGGGACACAGGGAACGCCAGGAGGCTGTCCGGCTGTGCGATCCCTCAGAAGACTCCTGCTGGCCTTCACTACCAACAACCCCCTGCCAAGTTTTCAACATTCATTTTGCTGCTCTCTGGTGTTGTGAACTTTAACCAGCGTGATGTTATTTTATTTAAAATCTTTATTTAGCATTCTTTAAAAAAAAAAAAAATCTCAGTTTATGGACTGCATCCTCCCCAGACAGTCTACCCAGCACTCTACTAGCCTTTGTCCTAGAGGCTTTTTTTCCATTAAATCTAAGCAAAAATAAGTATCTCTGAAGTTTTGTTCACTACTTCTTCTCCCCCTACAGAAATGGAATCACAGAATCACAGAATGTTAG